CTCGAAGCTTTAGTTTTATGATTATCTTCTCAAAATAGTTTATAAGGTGGGGAAAAACTCCTTTTTTATAAACCAAAACATAAAATATCTTATCAACTAAGACACAGCCTACCAACCATTTTTGTTTTCAAATCTGAAGATTTAGTGGAAAATCTGTGAATGTGCCTACTGTGATGACTGTGGGCTTTCAAGACTGGCCAGGATGGGCAGGATTGGCAAGAAAAGCTCTTTAAACACCCCACAGCAGATGAAAGAATCTATCTTATGTAACCAGCTGAGGCACAGCAACTACTACTCTTCACTTACTGTAGGAGGCTTTGCACCTGCAGACAGTGAATGGTCTGAATCACTCATTACCATCATGAACTAAAACAACATTGTAAAAGCTTGACTCTCTCAGGTACCACAATAGTGTGATCAAATAATCTAGCCATGCACTATCATTTCTAGTATAAGGTAGCCACTAATAATGGTTTTGATCTATAATGACCTATTTTAGATACAAACACACACATAGATTTATGTATATTTTGTATTAAAGTAATGGCAGGACACTGCTTTAGAAATCATGGCTGTCTCTACTTCCATCTGTAAATTCTGATATCAGGTCTTATAATTTGTCCCTATTTCTACCCTGCATCTTTCATCTTTTGCTGCTGTTGAGATAACTCAGAACCAAACCACCAGCAAACCTCACCATCACCTGATTCTTCTGTGCTCTCCTATGGAGGAGGAGAAGGAAGGAAAAGAACAAGAAATAAAACTGTCCCTTTAAAAACCCAAGTATTTAAGCTGCTTGTCAGTCGTCTTCCTGACAAGGCCACTTGAATGTATTCAGGAATATTTGCATAAATGCTCACAGTGAGTTCACCGTGGCAGCTAGCGCTAATGGTACATAAAGTAATTTAGTCACTTCTCTTAGGCATCCTGTCAGGGTGATAAGCACCCCCTCTTTGCCTTGTTGCATATTAGATCATTAGATAATAAAGTGTTAGAGCATGCAAACTGACAGGGTCTCAGGGACTATCATTTTTCGAGGGCATTACGTTCTGCCAGTAAGGAAAAATAATAGAGAAACTGATGCTGCAATTGGCTTTACATTGTTGTAAACCATTCAATGATTTGGGGGAGAAAAGAATTTTAACTTTGCAGCCATATGAGACTTTTAATTGGAAACTTTGCAGACATCTGCAGTGGTGGACTTCATGCTGGTAAAACTGAAAAGAGTAGTTGCAAACCCTGTCAGAATTCTCCCCTTCCATAAGCTAGTCACTTAAATTCCATTGGAAAGATTTTGCCTTTAAAATTGACACCCTGGGATGAACTACAAGCTGAAATGTATTTTACTGGTTGGGGCCTACTGGCTCTTTGCCATACATCTTACTATATACGTACAATTTAAAAAGGTCAACCACATTGGCTTTCTGGTTTACCATAAATATAAAACAAGTGAGAATCCAACTATTTGTGAATGAAAAAGTGATAATTATTGAAAACCACAGATTACTGTGGCTTACCCTATTCATACCACAGAAAGATGTATGAAATAATTGGCCTTTGCCAGCTATTACTTTTGAAAGATAGAGATATTTGTTTGAAATATGAGCTTCTTAAGAAGCGCACTGGTTTCAAGGAGGACAGTGTGTAGAAACGAAACCCTGATCTAGGTTCCTAGTTATATTCAGAGAAATGAGCTACGAAAAGGAACTGTCATTTTACTGTCCGACAAGAAAGATATAAATAGAGATGTGTTGGATGTCCCCAAAATAATCCAGGCTACCTGCTAATGAGATGGTAAAACCCAAATGTGGAGACACCAGGCTCCTGCGTGGCTCCAGAGGTAAAGCTTTCTTTCCAGTTTTTTGGCACCCTAAGTCTCCTTTAAGTGTCACATAAACTGCAACTCTGTGTTTAAGAGAAGAATGTCCCAATACAACTTTGTAAGGAAAAAATAAGCTGGATATTGTCTAACTAAACTAGGCAACACACTCTCTTGCTACATCCTCTCGCCCCTTTCCCCAGTCCTCACACAGTCAGGCATTCATCCCTATTGCAATCAGATATTTGTGTTAAAGCATTAAACATCTAGAAAAGTACACGGGAATACATTTGGTCAAGGGCATATTATAGTTAGAACCCAGCATTTAAAAAGCTATGATCAGAAGTTGCTCACCAGAGCAATAAACCAGAGACAAACTAGCCATTACTGTGTTAGCTTCCCATTTCACCGTTGACAGATACTGTTCAGGTCAATCTGTCCTTCCCCTGAGGGAGTAAGAAAAGCTGGAAAGAGGAAAGGCAAACAAACTGTCTCTGCTACTGACACTTGAAGATATCATCTGAGATAAAAAAATCCCAAAACTGAAGAAATATACTAAACTTTGGGACTCAAACTAAAAGTAAAAATTCATTTCAGTGTTGGAAACTGTTACCTGTTCCAATGGATTTAAGGTTTGTGATGATTGCCCAAAATTCAACAGTATTAAACCCAGTTGAGACTTTTCCTATCTTTGTTTTCGTTCAGTTAAGCGATTTAGACATCTGAAGTCAACATTTAAAAGAGCTACTGAATTTCTTTTTAATTCCTCCCCCTCCTCCACCTTTGGATTCAAATGTGCACAGAACTCCTGGAAAGTTGGATTGAAGGATTTAGGTTAAAAGAAAGGTCCCACCAAGCCTCTGGGAAGAGTTCAGTTCTGCAGTGTGGAGGTTACTATTCAAAAGTAAGAATTTACTAGTGGTTGCTTTATGAGGTTGCTCAAGAGTTGCCTGAGAAAGTAGATTACAGAAATCACCTTTCCCACAAAATGCGCACATGGAGATGTTTTGCAGATGTTGACTTTAAATGTTAGCACAGTAACTAGGGTTTGTGCAGATATGTAAGCATAGCATTGTCTCTTTTTTGCTTCTTTTTCCTAACAGAATCCCTCAGGTACTAGGAGTGGGAATAATAACTGTGGTAACATGAGGTGCCATCACACCGTGCATGGGAATAAGAACATAAATGGATGAGAAAGTAACTATTGCCTTGGCCAAAAGCATGCACTGAGAAGACTGCAATGGGGAGAGAGCGGGAAAAGATAAATAAATAATTTGGCATCTACTTTAGTAGGAATATAAGTAAAATATAGAAGTGCTTTTTTGAAAGGCTACATTTAATTCAAAGATTACAAAGTTGAACAGAGAGAAGTGTCCTTTTGTAATGTTCTGCCTTCTGCTAATTAATAAAGCAGAGCTCTTACATTCCTCACAAAAATTCGGCAAAAATTATGACAGTGGCTTATTAAATTAGGTTGTTGGCAGGATGAAAAAAAATTCTGTAACATGAATTATGGCTGAAAATGGCTTATAGCCTACATAAAAAGTTAGAGCTAAATAAATACAGATGTAAGTTATGTTTATATAATGAGAAACGCTGCTGAGCTAAGAATTTTAGGTTAGTAAGTGTGAACTACAGACCCGATTCTGCAAACACTTATCAATACCCTCAACTTTACTGACACAAGAAGCCTCATTGATCCCAACAGGACCATATGTGTGCATAATCTTAAATGTATGCATAAGTGCTTGCAGGTCTGATGCCTGAAAGCTTAAGCAGAATAGAAAGCTATTTCCACAGGAATTCACTGAGCAGTAGAAACCCACATATTTGCCCTTTTCTTAGTATTAATGATTTCTTTTAACATATCTAGTTAACATTTTTCTGAGTGGCATTCGCATTCCCAGAGAAAAATTTATCTGGGTTTCTTCAAACTCTTTGGAAAAAATCTAATTATTCATCAGATCCTTGGCAAATATTTGTGAAACAAACCAGCATAAAGGACTGATGCCTTCTACACTCAACTACTTCAATGGAAGCTGAGGGCACACATCTCTTAGAGGGAGCAAGCTCCTATTGAATTTAGGGTTACAAACAGCTTTGAAGACAAAGAGCTATTCTACCAAGCTGGAACAGGGAGAGGGGAGTGAAATGCCCGCTGTTTTTGTTTTGGTTTTCAGTAGTAGTCATCAGCTTTGAGGACAAAGAGCAAAACAAAACATTAATCAAATCCAGATTTTTTTAAGTATATTTGCACTCAACAGCTCCCATTTTAAGCACCTACAGTCACCAGCAGATGTTCTCTTCCAGGACCAGCTGATCCTATGGAAAAGATTACTGTCCCCCAAGTTGCTTCCAGCCATGTGCCCCCATCCCACCCTTGCTGGGGTTTACTGTCTGTTCAGAAAAGCCAGACAAATTGCCTTGCACCATTTCTCCTTCAATCATTTCAGCAAAATAAGCTAGATTGGTAAGCAGCTATTATTTAAAGGGCTTAACTCAAATGAACTTCTTTGGACTGAAGCTGACTAGGGAGCAATCAGACAACCATCATAGCTGGCATTTCCATGGTGGAGAATAGCCTGCAGCAGGGAGGATGGACAAGCAGCTGTGGCACACAGGGAACAGCAACTTTTTCAGCTGGTACAGCTGAAGCCAGAAGACAACTCATCCATGGCTTCAGTAAGCAGATGGATTTCCAAAAGGGCTCTGCTTTCATTTAGGGCAATTCAGAGGAACAGCTGGACCTCCTAGAGAGCTCAGCACCCTATAGATAAAAGAAATTCCATTCAAAATTTGGGTTCTAAGCACTTCAGAAAATATGCAACATGCTTGATTTGCACAATCAAAAACCCAGGAAATTTGGGAAAGATCAGGCTCTGATTTGGGTGCTGAATAGATGCAACAAAAAAAAAAAAAAAGAAAGAAAAACCAAAGAAATCACCACACTTCACTGACACAGACTCTGCACCATGTTTGCCTACAGGTTTGTTATTGCACTACATTTAGTCCTGACCTACTTTAAAAATTCCCCCTTTAGTCTGGAGTCCAGTCTCTTTGAAATATCCAGTCCCAAAGGTATAAACTGTTACAGGACAATTTGAAACTGGTAGCCAGAGACACAAATCAAATAATCCACATTTAAAGTAGCAATGCCAACCAATGAAAATGATATGCCTACCATGTTCCAGATAAGAAGGCGTACCTTCCGAGGGATCAAGTCTTCGAGCTCTCCGCCCGTGCTTGGAATTGTTGTGTACAAACATATTGTCCGACACTGCCAACACATGGCCATCAACATTGACTGTTGTAGACACCACAACCTGCAACCACAAGAGCAAAACAGAGGAAAATTTGGATATATATGTATGTTTTTTAAGAAGCACAGAGTGTAATAAACTCAGTTAAATAAATAACAGCTGGGAGCTGTAGAAAATTGCATAGCTATTTCGCATAATAACTGGTGCTTATGCTGTACAAATCTAACAAGAGACGCTATTGATGAGTGGGTCTTTGGCATCGAAAGCTTTTGATGCAGTTTTAAGTCAAATTGCAGAGTTTGTAGCTGCATGGCAGACGGCACACTGTTAACCATCATTTTAACAAGAGGATCTTTATTAAGTATTTTTTTCCTATATACAAGGGCAGCTGTGTTTCACCCTAAATTATCCTTCAGTTTCCATGCTGAAGTAGATAGAGCTGTTGACATTGCAAATGAGAATCAATTCAGAATAAAAGAAAACAAAAGGGTATTTTGTGAAGTTGTGATGAGAGTTGTTGCATGCCTACCTCCTTCCCTGCTCAACTGCTGTCCCCTCAATACAGTCACTACAGGTTGTTGGACTTGCCCAAATTTCTCCCAAGCTCTCTCTTAGGGAGTACATATAGGTATGTTTGTGTATATATACATGCTTGACAGTAGGGTCTTGATCTGGAGAACACAACCCTATTCATCCAGTGTTGGAATTATTTGTATTTCTCAACTTATCTCAGTGTCAACACCTGGGATTTGGTTTGAGGCAAGGGGAGGGAGACAGAGAAGCACTGCCCTGGAGGCAGGATCCGACACTTCTGCTCCCCAGAGCAGCCCCGGGTGCAAGAGGAGCCAACCCAGTGGGGGCAAACAGGAAAGTGTTAGGTACAGAGTAAAAGACCCAACCGCTCAGAGGTGTCCAGAGGGACCCCTCAACCTTGAGGATCAGCAGGTACCGTCCTATAGGAAATCTCCAATCAGGCTGAGCACACCCAAGACATGAACTGTCATGGAAGAAAGAGGGGAATGCATGGGGCAAGTCCCTGACAGAGCTGCAAGCTCATCATTCTGTGTCTCCTTGACCCTGGTCAGATCAAGCAGCCTCATAGAATCCCTGGCTTTCATTCAGCCATCCCTCCCACAGTCTTTTCCCAACAAAGTATGCTATTCCCAGGGTTTTACCCCAGCCAAAGATTTAGCTTTCAGCTGGCTGCTTATTTGCCGGGAGCATACATCGCCTTCAAGAACTTTGACTAAAACAATAAGAAGAAATGACCTACACTTCTCCTTACATTAAACAGGGAAAGGGATTAAAAACTGAAACCCACAGAGATATGTTTATTCATGCGACCTCTTACAACCAAATATAATAATTGTCTGTTAATTGCAGTTTCAGCTCCCACCTCATGCTTCGACATGTGAAACAGCAATCAGCAGCTCCTGTTTAATCCACCTATTATGTTGACTAATTAACTTTGCTCGACAGTTTATTTCTTCCTCCATTATCAGCCCCTGTCAGCCGCAAGCACACTGCCGCAAAGGGGGACCTCAGCCCTTTTGATTGATCACCGATAGATTGACATGCAGATTAATTTAATTAGAATCACCTCACTTGAGAAATGAAAGACAATGGCAAGGGGGCTAATAGATCTGCTCTTATAATGAGGCAAGCCTCCAGAGCCATGGCAGAGGATTTCTGATTTATTTTGCTGAATTCCCCAGTCGCTCTGAAAGGCTCTCGCTTTAATTGTTCTTGGTTTTGAGAGGCTTTAGCCTCTGAAGAGGTGAAATGCTTTACAAGGATTGGCAAACATTGCTTCAACTCTCTCAGGAAGCTGCTGCCTCTCAAAGTTGGTCAAATGGGGACACTTAAAGGATCGCTTACAACAATTCAATTTGATCACTTGAATCGGATCTAAACCAAAAAAAATGTTGAAGATTTTCCACCTATTTTTGACCACCAATTAAAATGCTCAAAAATTTGAAGCAAGCAAAGCTGCTACACTGCCCGTTGCTAATCCCAAAGTCTTTGTCTTTGAAAAGAGGAACACGAAAGAGCAGTTTACATCTAACGGATCCTAAAATTGTCTCCCAGAATGGCATTCCAGACAATAGATTTTTGTGCATGTTTTAAATGAAAGATATTAAAATACAGAATAAATGATTCAAGAGCTCTTACAGATGGAAATTTGGGAAAAAGAAAGCACCAAACACTATAGGTAAGTTTTTCTGAAATCAAACCAAGGGGGCGAAAAAAACCTCCAAGCCCTATATATAGAATTCCAAAAGGGATTTCAAAAGTAATTTATCCATTGCATTCCTGAGGGATAGAATAAAGTTTATGATATTTTCAATAAAATATGATCTTATAGTAAGTGGCTCAGGGTTTACAATCTTATTTGTGCACTTGCAACCATTGTAAATTCATTGCAACTGGGATTTTGAGCCAAATCCCTAGCTGGCATTGCCTGTCACAGCCCCATGATTTATGCCATCTCCTTATCTTATTCTGTGGGTGGGCTGAAACACATGTGAAAATTAACACTGTTAAAATTAATAACAATGGCGACAAAATATTTTCCCCAATCCTAAAACCATATAGGTGCACACAGGTTTACCACTGAAGCAAATCAATCCTGTGATGGAACCCAAAACTTTGAATGTTTCTAGAAACAGCATTCCAGAAAAATAACAGGTCAAGATTAATAACAGCAAGATAAGCCTCAAACCTGTGAAAATTGTGTATATAACTAGCTGTTGCTATGCACACACCTTTCCACAGAAGGCCTTGAGGAAACAATCCTTGTGAGGTCAGTTTTATGTGACTAAATCTACGTTTAATCTCCCCCCTCAGGTTTCCGCAACTCTTGATGTAACATACTTTGCATTACTTAACAGTGTCTTCCTACCTACCTCCTGAACAGAGAGTTTGATTTACTGCTAAGAGACCACATTGGTGTGGTTCTTCAGTGTCGTTAGCAGAAGAAACTATAAAAGGAATCGCTGAGAGAAACTGTTTCCAGTCTCAGGAAATGCAGAAAAAAAAAGTGGTTACTCATATGTATCTGTCTGGAAAAAAAAATGATTATTCACAGTGCACCTGTAAGAAGCAGCACACACTTACTGCTCAATTCTTCAACTGCAAAATCTCATTAATACAGGAATACTAAACATACACTGCACTAATGAAATATTAATGGCCCTAATTATTAACAGAGAAAAAATATACCTTGAATATTGTGTGCCACAGTTAGGTACTTGGATCACTACAGAGCACTTACATGCTTACAAGTTCTACTCATATTTTTTTCTAAAAAAATTACTACACTCTCCTCATTTTGATTTAGAAACAACTGGGATATGTTCAGGTTAAAGCACATGCTAAAAGTAATTTGTGAAGAAATCATAAAATTAGGGGGAGGGGAGAGCCAAAGTATATGTGGAATGGGCACCGAGGCATCCTAAAACATAGACCATAGCAAGAGGGAAAGGCACACTACACTTTAATAAATGATTAATGAGGTGCTGACACATTAATGTAAGCACAGGGACAACCAGGCCTGCCAAATCTCAAACCTTTCCAAATTTTGTCAACAAAACACAGTTTTAATTTGGGACAGGCAAACATGGAAAATGATTTTGAGCTTTAGCTTTAGCCCTTCATAGATTCTGTTTTAAATCCTGTATCAACACCGGGGGAGACAGACGTATGAAAGAAACACATCAGTTTACAACTTTCTTCAATGAAATTGGCACTATCAACTGCACTAACATATCATTCAGCTCTGTGAATTATTCTGCTTACCATTAAATAGCTCAGTTTGTGAATACTTTGGAGCTTAGTTTAAAAAAGAAATATTCAGAGACCAGGAGCTGTTTATTTGTTATAGTACCTCGCCTAATATATCAAAATTAAGCATTGCATGACTCCTCATTTTTAACCACAGCCCATTAAGCTTTGCTAACTGATTAAGACATAGCATGTTCCTTGGGCTTTCAATTTTCTCTGATGTATGTTGGGGGATCTGATATTTTTTGTGATGTCCCCAGCATCCAGTGGCAAAGGCAGAGAAAATCTGATTAAGACAATTTTCAGGTCTGAAGTGTGCGATAGAATTAAACCTGTAACTCCAGTGTTTGATGCTCTTCTGAAAGTTATGCAGAAATGGCTTGAGAAACCTCTTTATTTTTCTTACCACTTGGTGACCTCTTCCTACAGTGTGTTGACTTCTTTGTTCTAGTAACTAAAAATCACTCTCGATTTAACAAGACACTTAAAAAGGTGTCTGACTTAAAGCACATAAGTACAATATGTTCAGTAATTTTGCTCACGTGCTCAAGGACAGGCTGGGCACTTAATTACCTCAGCTCTCAGTGCTATTTTTCAGCCTTTTTTTTTTTTGCCTTTCCCTTCTCTGGGGATGGAGCCTTGCATGTCCAAATTCCATTATCTGGGATTCATGAAGCATCATCTCTGTCTCTTATGCAAATTTGCAATAGGACACAAGTGGCTTCAATTCAAACATGAGTGGCAGCGTCCCATGGAGGCAAACCAGCAGCCTAGGCTGAGAAAGGGGTTGTGGTAACAGAATCAAACAGCATGGCAATTTCTAAGTGACTTTCAAGGTTTTCATAATAAACGAATGTTTGGGGTTTTATGCAGTGACTCGGTCTGAAAAGTTTCCTCTAAATTAAAACTTGACATGTGTCAGTTTGCAAGCAGCTGCACTAAAACAAGAACAACAAGATAACTAGGGCACCTGGGTTTCATTAATTACAATAACATACAAAACTGTTTAAGTTGTATGAATGAGGGTTTAGTGCTGAAAAATAAAATCTGGGCAGAGTTCACCCATGATACCATCTACTTACTATTATTATTATTATTACCAGTAATTGGGGCACTACAGCCCATCCCACCAAGGCTGATGACTTATGTGATGAAGAATGCAAAACCAGACTGAACATTTACTCTATAGGGTTTCTGGAATAAAAAGGCAAGGTTGGACAAATGTGACAGTATGTGATACCACCAAATGTTTTGTGCAATTGGGCTGATGAAACAGAGACGAAATTATTTTCTCAAAGTCTATCAGGGAGTCTGCAACACAGCTGAAAACTCAACTGTCTTGAGGCCCTGCACAGTATTTGACTTCTCTCTGGCTGTCTCCTTCTGCTAATAGAGACACAACTAATGCAGACAGGGCCAGCACTGCTGTAGCACACACTTTTGCTGGCACTCGACACCACTCCTCTTGTCACATCCCTGGACATCTCATACATGCAGAGAAATTAATTTCCTTCCATGCCCACAACTGCTTTTTATGTTAGGCTTATCATACTACTACATATACACATGAAGTCCAGGATAAAACTGCCTAATTCTGAATGAAGTTTCTCACACAGGTTGTCTGAATCAACACACACTCTGCCTCTTCCCTGGGCTTTCTTAACCTAATACCATGTAACCAGAATATTCCCTGCTGCAGAAAAAAAAAAGTAAAAACTATTATGAAATGAAATTTTCTGCAGGCCTGATCATTAGATAGTGTCTGGAAATAACTTACTCTCATGGTTTTTAACCAGAACATTGACATAGCTATTAGAGACCTTCTAAGTCACTGGCAACACTTCAAACCTAGTTGATAGCAAACCCTTCACTGACTTCACAAGGGCCCTGAATTCACTTGGTTCTTATACAACATTGTCTCAAACATCTAGGTGTATCATAACTACTATATGTACATTTGGTCCTTTTCACCTTAAGAAATGATAAATGAAGCCTGGACTCAGTAGCATCTGGTTGTTTTATTTTAACAAATTTATTGCTAAAAGATCAACAAGTTCAAAATTAAAAAAAAAAAAAAAAAGGAAAAAAAGGGAAAATAAAAGAAACAAAAGCGGCTATTGTAAAACAATAATCCTGGGCACTTAACAGAATGCTGCAAGCTTCAATACCACCCTGTATTATAGTATCAGTGGTTCACTTGGCTGAAAGTGATTAATTTCTTGAAAATGCTAAGGTCACACTAATTGACATGACCTGTGTAATTAAGCAGTTTCTGTTTACACATGGAAAGCTCAACTGCTGTGAAGCTGGGTTTGTATGACAGAATGTCTTTACAAGTCAAGAGATCAACAACCTTTCCTATGTCCTACCTACTCGCTGACACAGGCTCCTGATTGCTGTTCTGAGAGAACACGCGAAGGCATTACCATATGAAAATCAGCCTCAAGCTTGGACGAGCACAAACCCAGCAGAGTGTACATGTTGTGAAGCAAGCTCTGACAGGCCCCAGGGGTGACTGCTTGGCCTAATTCCCTGTGCTGGTGAGAGTCCTTTTTCCACTTTCTCTTTCAGTGATAATGCCCTCTTGAATCACAGGAGAAACGTGACAAAGGGAGGAGTGTGGCGTGAGAAGCCAAGGGCTCTGCCATGCTAATGCTTGCTCTTATACTGATTAATTTAATCCCTGTGGCCACATATCCTCACTTCTTCACTTCTGTGTTCAAAACGGCAAACAACGCCCTTCTGCCTTCCAGCATTGTTGCGATTAAACAGTCCAACAAAGGACATATGTTCGACATATAAATATTATTGCCATTTACATAATATTTAGCACTTTTATTTAAGTGTAGTAATGCTGAAAAAGAAGGAAACATGGTCCTGAGCTACTGCAGAAAGCAGCTGTCCTTTGGAGTTGTCTTCTTCCAAAGATCCATGTGGTCCACAGGACAAACCTCCTACTTCTTTCTCAGAACCCTGAGGCAAATTGACAAACTCTATCAAGTTTTCTCCCTGGGCCACACAGACTCCTCTTATCAAAACAGAAGGTCCTTTGGCTCTCTACCCCATAGTTTTATTCAGCACATACTCAGGTAAAGCATTATTGGCACAGTCAAAGAACTATATTGGTCCAAAGGACCAAGGTTGGAGCAACTATTTCTCAGCATTGCCACCATACCAATCTGCTGTCAGACCTGGGGAAGGCAAGTGCAGACCATCTTCCAAAGGGCAGCACTGTACTTGATCCCAAATGTAGTCATGGACATAGATGCAGCATAACAAAATGTCCTTGGTGATCTGAAGCTGTGTTCCCAAGTCCCACTGCCACATCCTGCAACAGTGGGGAAATACCAGCCAAAAGCATCCCAAGAAAGATACATTTAATGGCAGGTTTTTCCAAGTGCTGACTGCAGGGATGGACCTTCATGGATGAACTTTTATGAGTCTTTAATGCTGCTGAAGAATAACTGCTGAAGAATAGCCTCAAGCCTGATTTTGTTAATTACTTTTATATCCTCCTCTGCCCCTTCCAATAGACATGGTGCTCCTTTGGTGTTTGCATGAAGGCAGATAGTTCCCCAGGCAGAAGGGAGTATCTCAGAGCGGGATAGCCCCATAACCTAAACCAACAGTGAGGTCATTTTGATTTTTCCTTTCCATGCTTTCATTTCCCATGGAAATGACATTATCTTCATTACTGTCTACAGCAAGAAACCTCAACTACTTCCTGCCAATTCTGCCGTGACAAGAAGTCCTCAGGCAATATTTTGTGACCTTTTGTTTTTAGCATCTTCCAGTGAATTACTGGGTTAGTTTGGGTCAAAGTACTTCTGTTCCTAACAGACACTGATTTTTAAAGGAGGAAGCGTGTCCAACTGACCTGGAACCGACGCATGTCTCGAGGGTTTCCTGCATTTTTTAGGCAATTTTGGTTACATTTGAGGAAAAATTTCAAGAAGAACCTGTGGAGAAAGAGAAACGGACATTAACATCTTCTAAACAGTGTGTAGTAGTCCTATGCAACATCTGCAGATTTGGTCCAACAAAGCCTTATTTACATTAGTTTTCAGACAAATCCTCCCACTGACCAACTAAAGAGGGAGCAGAGTTTCCACAGGCCCCAGTCCAGCAAAACATGTAACCACATCCTGAACATTTAAGGATTAAATTAATATATCTGTTGTATTAGAGCCATTAAAGTTTGCAAAGTCAGTCCCTCTCATGGTGAACGCCAGCTTCATCGTGCCATCCATAGCAGCAAGGAAGTAAGAGGCACATATTTCAGCACAGCCAAAAGAGGACAGAGAAATAACATCCAAGAAAATTCCCATGCATAAAAATGCGGTTTTGTTTTAAAAGTTCGCTGTCATGTTCAAATTTTGACATAATACAAAAATTCCCAAAATCTTCCCTACAGTTGAAATCTCCCACAATTAAACCCAGTTTGTGCATAAAATTAATGCTCAAACAGGGGCTAGTGGGAGACTCAAAACTCCGAGAGGAGAAGGGGGTAAGTGTTGGTTAAAAGACTGACTTCATGGAGAAATGAAATATTTTCTGTGCAGTCTATTTCCTGGCCGTACACAGTTCACTGAAGTAGCTATATGACCCTGACATATATCTCTAAGAAAAGACATTGCATTTTACAAAGCCAAATAAAAAAGCAAACATTTCACTGAAAATATTTCCTTCAGTGTTATGCATCAGTGGAGTGTAAACTCATAAAGACAAGTCAGTGAATAATAGTGGGTTTCAGATTCCAGGCTTCCTCCCTGAGAGCCAAAGTTTATCAACCTTTTGTCCAAAATAAACTACAGAATAAGGCCTACTGAAGCTCAGCCATACAAAATTTAATCCTATAGCAAGTTTAAAACTCAGCACAACCAGGCAGAGCAGCATTACTCTTGCAATAACCATCAGATGACTAAGCAGAAGCTATTCTGACCTGTTTCGCTCTGCAAAACTGGAGCGAGGAATTGTTTGATCCTGTTTTACTTTAAATCAGAAAGTTAACTTTTGCAAGCATCCATCTTCTAGCACCCAAACTGAATACAAGGTCAGCCGAATTTGCACACACTTCCACCCAAAAAGGCAAAACTGCAGGGTAAACAGCTTCAAAAAATCCCTTCTTGATGAGGAACAGTTTTTGCTTTGCTCTAGTTGTGATGCTGCCTCTCAACAAGACAAATTTTGATGCTTGCTCCTCCATGCCAAGACAATCACACTAAGCAAATAGCTGCAAAGACAAATTGAAACTACAAGGGGCTGTTTTCATTGAAGAAAAGTAAGGCAATGAGGATGAGTATAAAACGTGATGCCTGGGATTATCAAGGACGATCTGACCAAGGAAGACCCTTCTAGACCTGTGCTCCTAAATAAGAACAAGCGATCAACATAAAACAAACAGCTGCCACACTTGAACAGGGGTTTGAAGACACTGTGCTTGTTTATACTAAAATAAAGAGCAGTGTAAGGCATTACATTTTCTCATCAAGCAGGTTCTGATATTCAGTAACGAAAAGTTGTTATTTGTTGTATATGTGAGTGTCTTTTTAAGCCTCTAATGGCCAGCTGTGACAGCCTGACTCAGATTGTGTAGAAGGAGCTGTCAGCACAAATCTTGGCATCTCAAATCCAGACAACTGCTTGCCACCAGGCAAGGGTTTGTACTCGTGCCAGAATGGATTCTGAGGGACAAGCAAATAGGGCATTAATTCTGCCAAAGAAAAACGAAAAGCGGGGAGAGTTCAGGATCTTACACTTCAGATGATGGGTTTCCTGTCAGCAGCTGGTCATTTAGCTCATGAGCTATGAAGGGCACGGACATCAGATCCCTCTTGCCCTGAGCTGGCCCTGTCGTGCAAAATGCTGGCAGGATCCAGAGACCACCCCTCCGTGCGAGATGGCTTACTGAAACAAAAAGGCCGGCCATCTGTTGGGAGGCAAAGACATCCCTGTCAGCTGGTGCCTGCAGCCTCAAACAGGCCCTTATGTGGCAAAACCTCTCAGAGCTGCTTACTCTTTGGGAAGAAGCTGACACTGACCTGGGTTTGCCAGGGGATTTTTGGTGGCTTCACCGAGCACCAAGGCCAGGAGCTGCCTACCCGGTCTGCTGCAGCCCTGGAGAAACACAGTGGACCCAGGGGGAGTTGGGACATGGAATAGGTAGAGAAATCTGCATGGAAAGACAGCACCAGCCATGCAAATGTGAGAAGTGCCTTCCCAGTATGGCTTTGCACAGCACACGAGTGCATGACAATGGAATTGGTGGGTTGACTCAAGGGTCCCAAAAGAGATTGACAGCTCTTTGTAAAGCTTTCCAGGGAAACTCTGGGCCTTCCCTTCCGTTACAAAGTCTGAGCTAATGTCAGCTCAAAGGCTTGGAAAATCATTATGACATACAAGAGTTGGCTTTTGGGGTCCTAAAACTCTAACCCAAAGTTTCAAAGTCTAACTCCTTTTGCACTGTGTTATCTCCCCAGATTCCACAGAAGCTTCACCAAAATTAACTTCAGAAGAAATGATTCTCATCTATTTAAACCTATCAAAAAAACTCATGCAGGTAAGCAAGCAACCAAATAAAACATCCTTTGAATTAAATCAACTCCAGAAAAAAAATCAACTTAAAAAATAACAGTATTTTCAGAGGAATTTGCAAGACCCCAAGCTTACCCAGCCAAGTTCACTCACTGCATTTTAAGTAAGAAGTCAACGGCTTACAGAACACATTCTGCCAAGCACCGTATTTTTATTCAACTGAAAGACAAAACAAATTATAGGCTGCACTTTGTTTTGGAACACACCAGAGCTGGATCCCCCTGGCTACACAAAAGCATCCCACGCTCATCCAGGCAAAAGCCGAGTGGTTCCCGAGCTGGCATGTCACGTGCCGGCTGACGGTCTCCCTGGGCTCTGGCAGGAAGGTGGATGCGAACACATTAAGACAAGAGTAGACGGAGCTTTTTGATTCACAGGGTTCAGCCCAGTCTCTCAGTGCCTGCTTTAAATCACTTGTTCAGGTGCCTTCTTTACCTGGGTCCAGTCCTGCCAGCCTTGCTCATTAGAAACACTTCACTCTGCAAACATTTCAGATTTAGATTGACAGGACTAGTCCAGGAGAAGTGCCAACAGAGCTGAGCTCTTTGTAAGCATAAACCTCCATCTCCGTTTGTTTGCATCTAACTTCTTCATAGTAGGTTATTTTTTCAGTTCTAACTTTCTCTGTGTTTGGCAAGGCTGTATAGCATTAATACTAACCACAGAGGATATACAGCATTAATACTAACCACCAAGGTCTGAAATTCAGTCCCAAGATGAAAAAAAACTTGCAAAACACAAGAGTGTCAATAAAATCTTCAACTTTAACTCTCCCTCCAAACTTGTGTGATTGCTGAACACCAGCTTTTCTGCCACACAAGACTCAGTCATCAATTATACTTATTCCTACCCTTGAAGGTTTATTTTTTTGCATGAATCAAACAAAACATATTTCTGATTCCCTTCCTGACCACTAACATCCCTGGTGTGAAGAGCATTTGTGCATATGGAGCAGAGAAACACCAGCCAGCTCCATGCAAATCAGCGCAGATCCAGAATCATGCAAACTTTTATAAAGCACTTGGATTTAATGACTTACATTGCTATTAAATCACAGGACTCCATGCTTCACCCATTATACCGCAGAGACATGGTTAGAGGGTGTGCAGTTTTGGAGAAAACCAGTTAACTTTAGCTCATATTTAAGCTGCTTTATCACTCTGCTACTTCTAACTCCTGACCACTGGCTCCGTCCTCATTCCAGCTGAAGGATCTAGTGAGCATGCTACCAGCTGGCAGTCACTCAAATACTCAAAAATACAAAATACTCCCTGCCATTCATTGCTGGCCATTATGTACTTCACACTGCAACCCCTTGGGTTGGTGCAATACCCTTCCCAGCAGCACCCGCTCTTTGTCACTGCTAAATAACACCGTGATTTAAATTAAGTAAATACACAGCAGAAATGGAAATACTAGCAATAAAGATGTAAAAGGATTTTGCCCTCCTACTTTTCTTGCCCCTACAAATTAATACCCATGTCTATTAATAATAAATGAAGAGTTAAATTAAAGAAAGCAAGCTCTGACATGATCTTGGTTGGCTTTTCTGTCACTCCCCTGAAGGAATTTAAAGGAACTCAAACACGAAGGTTTAGCAGTAGGATTTTTTTGCCATTGCCACAATAAATATGTCTGTGGAAGGAGAAAAAAGTTGGAAAGAAGACCTGCTGCATTCCTGATGCTGAAGAAAAGCTTGTTTGTTCCCAACACATTGGAGAAGTTGTTCAAGAACAGTTCACCCATGTGAAAATACGACAGCTGTCATGCTGCCAAGGTCAGCCAGACCAGTGGCTATCCAGAAAGTGAGTGCCAGTTATACAACTTAAACCTGGCTAGGGCAAACAAAATTGACAAAATGCACCTTTTCTGAGGTATAAGCACATTTGATAGAAGAGGGTAACTTTAGACTCCTGGCTGAAACACAGCAGTAAGTGTATGTGGGTTTGCAAAATTAGCAAAACCAAAATACATGGGCTGGTGCAATAATTAGCAACTGTCCATCAGATAAAAGGATTGCATGTCCATTCTGTATGACATACCAATTCAGCAGAGTACTAAATATGTGCATAAATTTAAATACACAAGCAGTACTGATGGAGACAAAGGTACTACCCACATACTTCAGTACCTTGCAGAACCAGCTCTGATATCAGCCTCCCTCCTTTTTTTTGATTGTCCTTCCAGGAAAAGATGACGCTAGGGATGTGATGCTACAAATATAATTGTCTCAAACAATATCTAGTGAGTACTTCAATAAGTTATATTGCACCTACTGTTAACTAATTCTAGTTAGTAATTTGCCAATAAAATAAAAATATAGAGAAAATGCATTTGATGCAATTTTATTTGGAAAAGTAAATCA